ATATCAAAGGCAGGCTCATTCAGCATTTGCTCCAATGCCTTATAGCCCTTCCTTCCCCATCCCCTGGTCACTGTAAGCTTCAGGCTAAACTCAGGCACACAGTGCTAAGCTGAGCCAAACCAGAGCGCAGGTTATTACCCACCACTTCACCAGGTTAATTTTCTACATGTTGTAATTCTTGCACATGTAACTACATGGATGGATATATTAAACATATGTTCCATTTGTGGATATATTAAACATATGCTCCATTTGTGGATGTATATATATGCTCCGTTGTCAATGTTCAAATATAAGCCAATGTTTAAATAAAAGCCAATTAATATTCATTCCAGAAGGAAAACTGCTAGAAAATTTATAGAGACTATTTTCACACTGACAGTACCAACTGGAAGCAAATCCATAAGTCTCTTCAGGTAGCTGCTTTGCACCACTGAGGAACACAATAAAACTAACCTGACATCAACTTTTTGTTATCATTGACCATCTTAGTCTGCCGTGGTGATCTGGAGTTTGTAGAGTCCCATCTAATCAATAAAGAGTTAATGTGGTGGAAAAGTATGAAAAGAAATTGTGTAAGAAAGAACATATGGTAGCTGTATATTGTGGAATTGATGGGTTTAGTAGAGCCCTAGCTGGTCTATGTTTAAGCATAGAGGTACAATGCAAAGACCTTAGAAAACAATTAGGAGACTGTGACAACAGAAGTAATAAATTTGCTGTTAAAATCAGCATATTCAGTGAAAGAAATGCATACGAAAGCAAATGCATTTCTGTGCACATTTTTATGTATAAATATATAAAAATATATATGATAATATCTTTCCTTGAATGTGTGCTTAATGCTGCTATGCCCCCATTCTTAGTCATCTGGACTGATAGCTTTAATAAGGGGATAACCTTGGTTTAAACTCAGCTATATTTGCATGCTTACGTCAACTGTATTGCAACAGAAGCTGGCACAGCTGCCAGAAGCAACAACACAGTTGATTAAACTATACTTAAGGAGAACATGTTTTGCTAATACAAACTTAAAAATGGAGATATTAGGGCACCCTTTTCAGTTCTCATAGATAAATCCATATTTCTTCCTCATTCTATTTTGGGACCTATATTAAACCAAGAAAATATTTCCAAATAAAGATATTGCCAAACCAATTCAATATCAAAAAAAAAAAAAAACCAATACAAAAAACCCCATAATAAAACGCCACAACCAACATTAGGAGTTCAGCTCTTAAGCTTTTATAAGTCTCTCACTAAGCATAAGATAACAGCATAGCAATCTATGTTCTTAAAATATTTGTTCTGCATTGTAATTTGACTCTATCTGCTGAATATTTTTTTTTTTATGGGAATTTCAAATAGTTTGTAAAATAATTTTAAAAAATAATAATAAATAAAATAATTTTCCAATAGTCCTTTAAAAAATAAAATCTTCACAATAAAGTATTCTGCACCCCATTTATCATGTGAGCAATACAATGTCAACTTTGGAGGCACTGATATCCTTCCACTACAGTGTGGAAGCTGTGCCCACTTTGGAACTATCAGAAGCACTGGAAATCACAGATGGGTACAGCAGCCTGCATGTTACAACAGTTGGTAACCCGAGGGGCTTTTCAAGAGATCTTTCTTGTTTATGGCTGTGATTGACTTTCCTCTCCATCATACAAGAACAGATTACAGTGCATGTATGGAAAGAGCAAGGCTGGCTGTCCATTCAAATTTTGGCATGAAATAGGTTTGCGTCCAACTTGTATTGGGTAAATGTCCTTCTAATTTTTTTTCTTGAGAACATATGAAGGAATTTGGCTCCTGGTTAGGAAGGCACCACTAGGTAAAAATAGCATCCTAAAACTATCTCTTCAGGAAAAGAAAAGCATATATTTAGTACCTTTTTAATGAGTGATATAAGTTAAGAGGAAAAACAAGTACAGAAACTGTAGAAGAAAATTCAATCTGCCCTCAATGTAAATTTGAAGGGAAAAAGTAAACTTCCACCTATAATATGCATGGAAAGTTCTAAGAAAATCTACTGTGAAAAACACAGCTATGACAGGTATATCTAAGTAGTACCTCTGTGCAGAAAACCAGAACTTGAGAATGACATGAATTTTCTTCTTTTTTTGCACTAATTCTAGTAAAAAGTTACCAAGGTCCAGTTGATGTATGATTTTATTATAACACTGTAATTGTAACCCTGATTCCAGAGGCGAATGCTATGGCATTATTTCAGCCATTCCAGATTTAGCAATAGCAATTATTAGGAAGTCTAGAGACATTATAAAACTGAGAACCATGTAGCCATGACAATTTCTAGAAAGTACAATTACTGATAATATTACAAATAACCTTGGAATAAAGTACCAAACTGGGTAAAACTTTGCATGCAAATGTCATGAAACAATAAAAGCCTGCAAGTCACCAGTCACAAAAGCTTGTCAGGCTCACATAAGAGACTAGTAAGGGTTAAAAATATAGTGTTTCAGCGAATTTCCCACAACTTCCCAAGAAATATGTGCATGAGTGCAGTTTATAATCAACACTATTTTAAAACTAGAGTAAGTGAAATTTTGAACATTTGGTATTTAAAAAGTGGCAACTAGAAAATAAAATTGTTAAAAAAAAATAAAAGGATGAGAGGAAGAGTTTATCTGGGTTTTTTCCTAAGCCAAGACAACCATATGCTGCACCAGCTGAAAAATCAAAGTGATTTTCAATGTCAGCCTCAGGCACTGGTAGGTCTAAGCATCTCTAAAGGTGCAACTAAATGGTACTGATGATAGAAAGGAGTAGTTTTAGATCCTCTGAGAAATCAGTGCTTACATAAGGAAGGAAAAACAGATAAAGAGAACAAGAGAATAGCAAGAGAGAAGGCACAATCTCCTAGTACACTAGGAGGACAAGGCATTTCTTCATATTTTTGCTGCAAGACAACCCAACAGCAAAAATTATCTGCTTTGGTAGCCACTAATTGAAGTTTAGGCTTCCATTTAGGGAACTTGCCTTGCCTTTTCTGATCAATTTTCATCCATATTTTATTTTTTTTAATAGAAGAATAGATATAGTGAATGTGACTGAATAAAGAGAAGACCATGAGGATTTATTTTTGCCATGGTACATACTTCTGTTTTTCTCAAGGAGAATAAATTGAAAAGCATTTCTTTTAAAATGCTGTATGCATGTCACAGCATGCTCAGTTGTATCTAATTTAGTCATGTAACTCCTCATCCATGTAAAAGCCACCAATGTATGGCACACCTCGAAGAGTATTTCATATGAAGTAAAAGTTCTGTTAGCATTTAATTTTCTTCACACACATATGTAAGAAAATAACAAAGAAATATGGGGGAGAACAACAGAGTAAGGGAATGAATTTAGGCATTGTGTTCTTCTGTGCTAACACCATCACTGGTGTTCATTTTGTCTTTCTGACAAGGTGTGAAACACAATTTCACTACCAACCATAAGTTCACCAGTGAGAAACGTTATTCTGAATTTGCCACAGACACAGGTATCAAAATGTAACAAATGGTTTTCATCTATACATAATAAACTGTAAGTAATATTATTATGCATCTCATTAGGGGAAAAAATAGTGCACCTGTATTGTGAATCTACAGACAGTCCTGTAGGTGACTATAGTAATTGCTTCTCAACACTTCTATAAGATTAACATGATCATCTCTATATGTCTACTCGCATCACATATTATCACATTCTATCACATTCTATTGCTCCTTGCCACAAAATTTAAGATAATACCTCACTAATTCTATGTAGCAACTTGTGTAGATAGCTAGTCACCTCCTAGATTGACTTTAAAAGTGTCAACATCTGAGGCGCATAGCTTAAGGGGAACAGTATCCCTCTTCCACTTCAAAGTCAGAAAACTTCCAAAACTGTTAACAATTACCAGGAGTATTAAATGGCTGGTACTGGCTTGTGAAGTACAGGGAAAATGCAGTTTAGGAGAGAGAAGAGCAATAAGCTGGAACTAGCACTGGGAAGTTAAATGACTCCCAGCCCAGAACAAATTAATTTCTGGTGCCTGCAGGGATGCAATCTGGCAGCAGGACACAAACACTGTGCTTATGTTGCAAACACACTGCTCAGGACCACTGCAGAATCAGCCATCAGGAAGAGACCAAAAGGGCCCATTCAGCCTATTCTCCTGCTCCAAAACAGGATCAATGCTCTTTATGTCATTCTTGGCAAATATCTGTCATGTTGTGAAAATTCTTCAACAAAAACCTGTTCCAGTACTTCAGTATCATTACTGCAGTCCACCTTTCTGTGAAAAGAAAATTACTCTGTCCTCTGTACACTAAGTTTTTGAAAACTTATCATGTACGCAGGCAATCTTTTTCTCTTTTTTTTTTTTAACTTAGGAGTCTGATGCACTAAAGATTTTTTTGGATGTTAGGTTTTTGATAGCTTGAGCCACTCTTGCAGTCTCTCATTCTTGCATTGTGACCAAGGCAAGGGCAATAGTTACTCTGAGCATGCAATGTATAACAGGAAAAAGAATTGTCCCCTAATGCATAATTAGGAGATCATGCAAGTGCTGTAGGAGTTTAAGAGCCACAAAGACAAAACCATTTAAAAGACAAGATGCTTTACTGTAAACAGACAATCTCAATTTTTCCAGCAAACAACAAATGTAAACTAGGAAGAAAGAGGAATGCACCACATCATGTGACATAACAGGTTTGGGGTTAGAGAACCCCTGGACCTTAGCATATATATATATAGTTATTTTTCTAACTCATCCTACCCTCAGAAACATCACAGGTACTCATATTGCTGAAGAATAAGTTTCTAAATAAACAAAGCTAAAACAAAACTGTAATCTAGGCACAGAATAATAGAAACATTTCTAATAATAAGTTTTCAAACTCTTTTTTTCATTTCATCCCTGTTTCAGCAAGAAAAGTACTCTGAGGCAATTAAGTAATATGCAATTAGTTATCAAGCATTTACAGCTTCTTACTCACCCACTGGTGACATTTCTGGGACACTGGCAACATAAGGCCCATCCAGAAACCTTGGCTCATTATCATTAATGTCCTGCACTTTGATGATGAACTCTGATTCAGGCTCTAGTGGTTTCTTGGTGTCAACATCCACAGCCTGAGCCCGGAGTGTATAGAAAGGTTTTTCTTCTCGATCTAGGCTCCTTATGGCATGAATGTCTCCCGTGGTCTCATCAATGGTAAAAACCGTGCCTGCACCATCTCCTGAAAGGGTATATTTAACAGTGCCGACTCCCTTGTCCAAGTCAGAATGAAGCTGGAGAAGAAAAAGAAGAACAAAAGAGAGGACAGAAACATTAATAGCTTTTGCTAGGGTGGACAGGTTTTTTTTTGTTGGGTTTTTTTTTTTAATGTAATAAAAGACTTTGGAGGAACCAATTTCCTAAGTCCTTAACTATCTCTAAGTGCATGGAAAAAATGTGGGTAGTATCTTATGCAACTTTTACTCCTATCTAATACAGCACAGACTTGCAGCAGTTCAGTAACTAAAACTACAATGAAGCAGGGCTTCCCATTTTTTATAAACTGAAATTTAAATCCAAGCACGTAAAATCACCCATAGCCACATCAAACAAATGTGAGATGACATGAGAGAGTGTCAAAAGTTTCCACAGGCATTTTTCTTTCAGAGAACAAAAAAGGAAATATCTAATTATTTCAAGAGCAAGAGCTTGATGGCATCGGAAACTCAAAGTCAAACTTGGTTAAAAAAAAGAAAACATACACCTTACGATTACAGTAAATGCTAAACAGAACTAAAATTACTGCCTTTTACACAAATAATTGATCCCTTACTTTTGAATTTTCAGAAATAATCACACTGCAGACTGTGAATATAGGAGTTTCTTGCTCATTTTGAAAGAGTACAGAACTCAATATTTTCTGCCTTGAATACCAAGATACACATTTTTTTCTGGCCATTACTCTGATGAATCTCTAGTTATAATTTAAAAATAAAATAAAAAACTTTAATTCAACTTCTTGGATGTTTTGTCCCTTTATTCAGTGTCTATCCTACAATAAAGTGGCCTTAAACATTATTTTAAATACATGGTGCTTTTAAATCCAACTACAGTATGATGAACTTCTTTCTCAGATGCCTTTACCTGCTCCATACTCATCCTTTAACTATATCTAAAAGCTTTGAAAATATACACAAGGTTACACCACTGATGCTGAAATAGTTTTTAAAATATTCGTCCACTTTTCCCATCTAATGAGGACTAAAAATCTCTTCTATAATGGCCACCAGTCAGAATGGAGTTTTCAAGAGTGAATTCTCCGAAGCTGAATTGTAAAGCGATTATGGGTATAGACTTTATTTACATGATGTACTGCCCAAGGTGAAACACAATAGAGGAAACATGGGATATAAAAGGAGATTATGTAGAAAATGAATTACTGAGAAACTAAATGGTTTTGGTAATGGGGCAAGAAGCTAAGCTACAGAAAAGGAGTTAAAGGTAATTACTAACATTTATAGCTATTGACTTGAAATTGAAAATAGGTCCTTGTGACTGTGGAAGAGGTCATGGTTTGTGGCACAGAGAGAACACAAGCTTAGTGTCTTCTTGTCTACATTTTCCATCTCATCATTCTTGCTCAGCAAATATATTAATTTCTGATCTTTCATCTAGCTGCCCCCCACATGTGATTTTAAATTATCTCTCCAGTTCAAACTAAAGTATTTTGCTTCCAAGGTGTTAAATATTTCCTTTCTTGAAAAATGAAAAGATTATGTAGTCTGAGATAATTAATGTCAATTTCTTCCTTCTTATTTTAATTTAAATGGCTCAAAATTTCCTGCTGTTTCATTACACTCTGCTAAGTAAAAACTTGGTATTTTCCTTCCATTATCATTTGGAAGCGTAGAGACACACATCAAGAGAAAAAAATAATAAAAATAATGATGAGAAGTCTTGAAGAAAAAAAAAGTTAGAACTTTTTAGAAGGAACCAAACAACTGTTTTAGTAGTATCCCTATATTAAATAAAATTTGTTTGGGCTTCATTGTGAAGATTACCTTGATGAATATTCCTGGAAATAATAATATCACAGAGCAAAATAATGCAATTATAAAACAGGAATTTATAAGCAGGAAAGAATGACAAGATTACTCCCATCTCTTGTCATTGGATTTGGCACTAAAGCTGAGATGGTTGAGTGTGTTTCTGATTGGCAGCTGTAGGTTTTGTGTTTAACTAGTAACAAATGAGGCTGTATTGCATGGCTTATCTGAGCCCTTGGATTGTGCTAGAGAGAATCAATTACAGTTCCTTTTCATAGCTGGAGAAAAAGCAGGAAAAGCAAGGGCTCCCAAGACGAAGGAAGACTGAAATATAAAGACTAGACTAACATAGGTTTTTTTTCCAAAAGGTATTAGAGAAAAAAGATTTACAGCTGGTAGGAATAGCAATTCTACAGTTGCAGATTTATTCACAGGGCTTCACAAGTATCACTCATCTAGTACAACCTAGGAACCATTCCACCTTTTTAAGTAGAGCTGCAATGCTCTGCATTAGCTGGGATGTGTCACGTTGTATTTATTCACCAAATCTGCTGATTTTGACATAAGCTACCTAGATGACATTGCAGGACATTGTGCGAATGCCTGCTTATTTGTAACTCACACCAACCTATGCAATTTGTGGGTCAATTCAACATTATGTGGTGTCAAATTACTGCACATTATGCAGTGTCAAATTACTACAGGGGAACAGCTGATTTATCACTTTAACATTAACTAAATTTTCCATCAATAAAGGGGATGCAAAACTTAGATTCAGATGCAAGGATGAAGAGCAAGAAGCTAGCATTAGCTGTATTTACACAACACTAGGAAATAATCCTGACTTTCAATGCCTGAAATTTTCCAGAAAACAGTTTGGGCTAAAGAATAAGTGCTTGCTGCTGTGTCTTGATTTATGTGCTACAAGCTCTATTGCACTGGAAGAAAAGACATTTATCTTTTTGTGCTGAAGAACAAAAGATTTGTGAGAGACTAGTTTTTCTGACACTGTGTCCACAGTAACTTTGGGGTTGTATCCCATTTCACCTTCTTGCTCGCACTTATTTTCTAATTCTTGGTCTTCTACAATTTCAGTAAAATTAAACGGCAAGAGACCAAGTGATCAGATATTACCTACTTCCATCCCCACAAGGTATTTACAATCCAGAATCACCTGAATTTACTGCAACAAGGTTGTACAAATTATTTCATTCACAAAGGTTGTCTTAATTTTATGTTTTCCCTATAAACCCTGAATATTAAAAATGCAGCAGAGGATTGGAAATGTGATGGATTATTTCTATCTTTGCTAAAATCTACTCTTGTATTCTCTACTATATAAGGAGCACAGTTTAGAGTCAGATCTTTGGGCAAATCTACCCCAAGTGTAAAACTAATAATTTCTTGCAGCAAAACTCTGTTAGTGCAGAAAATCATGAATATTTTTCCATGATGGCAGAAAAAGACATATAATTCCATAATTCTTGCTAATGTGTAAAAACAATAACACATATGGCAAAAGAAATGACTGATTTAAAAAAATAAAGTATGAATAATATGATGGAGACTATTGTAAGATACATTGCATAAATCTATGCAGAAATTATGGCTGTGTTTTTGAATCATATCCAGTACCAGATGCCAGACTGAGTCAGTCTACAAATCCATGTGATCTAGCAATCTGCTTCAGTCTGTAACGAGCTGAATGATAGTTTGCTTCAAAGAGGATGAAAAGTTGGTAATAACTCTTTACTAGCACATCTGGGAGAAATTATTTATTCAGTTTTTCTGACAGTTTCTAGCAAGAAGTATGATTGTTTGTATTTTAGCAATAAATTTAGATCTTACTGCTTCAATAACTCTGTTATCAGCTCTGTGCCACTTCAAGAATTCATACACCTGCACAAATAATTTCAAACCACATGAAAGACCAGTAAAAGTGTTAAGTAATGTACTTCAAGAATGGGTCTATACTCCTAGGTAAATTGAGCATTACAGGAGTATAGATCAGATGTATTTGTTCCTCAGTATCCTGCAGTGCTGATTTTCTCTTCAGTATCCTATTCATCTGATCCTCAACTGTTCACTTTCTCTTTTCTTAAATACTTCTATGACTTCTATTAATGCAACTATTTTGAAAGCCAAATGTATAAATTCACATACATAGGTAAAGAAATTGGTAGCAAAAGAGGCTTTAAAAATTACAAGATAGTCTACTTTAAAATGAAGCAATCACTATACCCCCACAAATCATGCCAGAACAAGGGCTATGACATCTGCCAGGATTGCTGTGAACTTAATTTCACATCAATACAAACATTGAAAGTTGTTGTATGAGGTGACATCTTCCCTTTCCACATTTCCCAGATGCCAAGGAATGTTTAAAACCCCTAAACTAATATATTTACCCTATGATACATTCTGAGATTCTAGGTCTTATTCCATTGCCAATTTCACAGGATGAAAAAAATCAGAAATCACTGTCCCATGTATTTGTTACTATTAAATCAGTTAAAATGCTACATTGCAGTGCATATCTGGACTAAAAAAATGATAAATGTTTCAGGGTATTAAACATTCCTTGCCTGCACAACAGTATTAATCCCACATCTGTATCTTTACATCATTTTTCTTTATGTGATATATTTTAGGACTTTACTCCATTATTTTCTCTTCCTGTGTCTACGCCCAGGTATCACTATTCATTCTGTAGCCACCAGCCCCTGTACTTTCTTAGGGAAGATGTGCAATGAAAACTGTTTGAGAAACCAGAACATCCATTCAACTACAATCCTACCTAAGACTGAAAATACAGAATGGTAGACTGAACTGAGTAAAGGAAAAAAAGGCCATTTTTGTGCAGTTAACACAGACCCAAGCAGACCTATTTTGGCAGATGTCTACTGCAAGTGTCTGTTGGAACAAGGATAATACCCACTACAAGAGAAGAGGGTGTAAATGAGTCTTGCTACTTTCTATTTGGAAGGCTGCCCTTTTAAAATATAATTATTCTACACATATTTTCTCTTGGCAAGAACTCTATCATCTACACAGATTGCATAGCTTCTTTTTAAAACTGATAATTAGAATCTAATGTACTGCTTTCACACAAATGTATTTATTTCTTCCCTCTAAAAATACATAAACCTTGAAAATTTTCCTAAGATTCAAAGGGTATGGGGGTGGCAGAGACTTTAATTCAGGATATGGAAAAAAAAAAAAACCAAAACCAAAAAACAGTGTAATTG